AGTTAGGTTACACATATAAAACAAAAGTTACCTTCTTAAATGTACATTATAAATTAGGTGCCTACTTAAAAGCAGACATAAAGTAAACAAATTAAACAGAACCAACTCTAAAAGAAAATAAAACATGATTTACTCCAAAACAAAAATTTTAAATTAGGTTAATTATTGTAAAGTTTGCACAAAAAAAACTAATTTAGGTGCTTTTTCGGTCCCTGGACGATTTCGAATCTTAGAATGAATCAAACCAAATGTCGAAAATATTCTTTCAATCGAGGCTGAACTAGCTGCAGCAGAAAATAGTTGCTTGATAATCGGGAATAATTTGTCAATAATATCAATATTTCTTTGGGATTTCCACCAGTCCAAGGGTTTTGTGTTTTTAAGAATTTCTTCGTGAAATATAATATCGGCAAAAGGCTCAGATTTTGCCAGAAATTTAATAATCAGTGGTAGTAAACCACTTTCGGGATATAATTCATTAGCGGCTTCTAAAGCACGATTCTTTTCGCTTTCTGTTAATTTATGCTTTATTTTCGTAGGGTCTAGAATGAAGGCTAGCAAATGGTATGAGGTGATACACTGGCCGTATCGGTATCTAAATGTTTGCATTTGCCTTAAGTTAATTCAGTTTCGTCAAAATGCGACTCAAGAATTTTAAATTGTTCTACGTCTGATAAAATTGCATCGTTTCTTTGAAGCCTATTAAGTGCAACAGATATAGGTTTTAGTAGTGATAAGTAATCTTCAGCAGTTCTTTTTAAATAAATGTTTGATATTTTCTGTCTTACTATGCTGTCAATTTCATTTTTATGTTCCTCGCTAATTTTAAAAAGTGTGGGCCATGAATTAACGAAACCCTCTAAGCAGTCGGCAAGTGAGTTCCTTCTTACGTCAGAAGATAAAGTAAGTTTTTTTCCTCCTTCTTTTGCGTATCTGGCAGATGCAAAATGATTGTTTCGGAAGTATTTCACAACGAACGTAACGTGTTCCTTAATTTCACTAATTTCCAAATCCTTACATAACAAATTTAAAATGTGTGGAGCACAACCGTAAGTAATAACATTTAGTTCTGTTGACTCTTTAATTTGGTTTTTCATAGCATTCATATTGGCAGCATTATCCGTCACAAAACTGCTTACTGTACAGGTATAGTCAGTGTTTAGAGTTTTAATTAAGTTTGTTGCAAGTTCTATCTAATATACAGATGTATGTGGATTTCAAGATGTGTCTATCATGTCTACGAAAAAGGAAGACCCATTTTCCGTAGTTACAGTTGCACATATTATTGGTTCATTGTGTATGTTGGACCATCCATCCAATGACAGACAAACTGAACTTCCTGATAAATCTTTAAAACATTTACTTTTTTCCTCGTTATACACTTCATCGAGCAGTCTGTTGGACACATCATGTCGAGTTGGTGGTACATATCCAGGTCGTAAAAGCGTTATTGCCTTTTTTACTTCTGGTTGTTCAATACACGTGAAACTGCTGTTTGTCACATAAAGAGCTCTAGCAATTTGTTTATCTATTTCTTCTTTATTAGACTTGGTCGTACGTACAACAAAAGATGATAAAGATCCAGAACTGGAGTCAGGCACTACTTTTCTTTTTTTACTTAATGGCGGCTGTGGGGCACTATCTTCCTCTTCTTGTTGTAACGTGTTCAATTGTATCTGTAAACAAGATTGTTATGTTGTTTAAATCCACCAGTAATACTTACTTTATTTAAAACTAGGAGTGAATAAACATTAAGGGAAGTTACTAAAACTAAAATCTATTTTTATAATTTGAATTAAGTGTAGTTTTCCCGAAATAAAAACACACCTCGACGTCGTTTCGCCAACTAAGTTATATCTGGGGATGAATAAAAACAGTTTTAATATCTCCAATATCAACGGTGCAAAGGCGAGATCTTATGTTTTGGTGTTTCTAAAAACATCATTATCTTCAAAGGTCCAACCATTCCAGTAAAATAGACCGACAAATAATAAATTTAAAAAAAAAGGTTCTTAATATTTTGTCTTACTAAAAGTTATAATTATAAATAAAATAAACTTCACATTGGACACTGTTCCGAAGTAAGGGACCTATATTTTTTCTAACTTTCTATTACGAATTTTTTCCAGTGGACTTTCATGGTCCAAACCCTTGCATTCTCATTACCTTTTTACATGTAGCTCTACTACTTTTTTCCATAAGCTTACTTGATTTTTCAATAAAATATTCCAAATAGGATTTTTTCCTCCACTTCTTAGAGGACATGTTAAAAAATTATTTAATATTTAAATACTATAAATATAATACTAGCCTCGCTTTCTACTTGTTATGCGTTACACGACAGATTAGCAAATAATGGCAATCGCGGTTTAAAGACAGGCGAATTTTCAAGTTCTGACCGGAATTTTCATGTATGCTTTACGTATTTCACAATTATAAATACATTTATTCCATTTGTAATTTAAATAAAAACTATCTTTGTTAATATAATACTAAATACATTGTTAATGTCAATTATTAGGATGTTTAAAAAATAAATAAAAACCAAAAAAAATTATAATTTTTTGATTTTTTTTAAATCGAGTTTTTTGGTTTTTTTTTTTAAATCATGATTTTCATCAACCCTGCTTGTTCACTTTTAATTAACTTGGGCACAGGCTGAATAAAATTTGTCAAAAAGAAGCACCTTTGCGACTATCCTCCCTTGTATATTCTATTATGCAGACAATTTATACCGGGAAAATTCCTGCAGTAACAAGTATCGCCAATTGAGCGACCGTCGCGCGTCGCCTCGGCATCTATGAAATTAATGAAATCGACCGCCAAGCTTGTCAGAACAGGAAATTGCTGATTTTTTATTGTTTGTATGAAAATATAGACCACATAGACAATTTTTCCAATTACGTGAATAATTTATATGTGCAAATTGGTAGTTAGAGAATAAACAAAAATAATGTATGGAAAAAATCGTATTTGTTTTCAAAAAATTTGAGTAAAACAAAAAAAAATCAAAAAAACCTGATTTTTTTGCTTTTTTTAAAATCATTGATTTTTGATTTTTTTTTTTAAAAATCATGATATTTTCCAACCTTGTGGAATTGAAAAACGAACATTTTTGTACGTATATCTGTATGGCCATTTGTAACCATTTTCGATTTATTGAACAATAACTGCAAAATTCAGCAATAATGTTTTTTTTTTGTAATTCAAAGTATTCAAAAGTGCTCCACATGTTGCCCATTTTGATTGACACATTTCTATGCATCCTTGAAATGAGGTTTCTACTGTTCATAAAATTGCTGGAGTGATGCTTCTATAAACATTTATTATCCTTTCCTTAAATTTTGGATTGTTGTTGGTGTGATGTTTTTATGGGCATCATGTAACACGCTTATTATAATAACTTCTCTTGAATTATTTGAAAGAAAAAACCTCATTTTAATTTTTATTGCAGAATTGTTCAATAAATTGAAAATTTCCAGATGTGTGTGATTGGTAGTTAAAGAATACAAAAAAAATCGTATTTGTTTTAAAAAAATTAGAGTAAAACTGAAAAAAAAACAAAAACTGATTTTTTAAATAAAAATCATGATTTTTTCCAACCCTGGGGCCTATTCTGTAAGCCCTGCAAACAAGTAGTATTGAATGGAGACCACCCTGTACGTGTACCGTACCCAAACAAATCTCTTCAATATGCACCTCTTTTCTTTACTAAAAATTATATTATTAAGTTACGACATTAAGATGGTTATCTCATGTCAAAAAACTGGTCCTGTATATGGTTTTAGGCGGTTTTCGGGCACAATGCTTTGAAAATTATCGTCCATAACGATAATCCGACGTTTCAGTGGTGTATCATAAAATTTTACGGATACAAAAAAAACATCTCGTAGAATACCATCACTTGCAAGAAGTGGATTATGATACGAGTATTTATTTGTCCTCGATAGCTCTTCTAAATTTATACGGGCAGAAAAAAACGTCCTCGATGCGAAATTCAACTAGGTACGGTAAATTTTATCGGCTTTTTTCTAAGAAAAAACAATTAGTGCTCAGCGAGTTGTGTTAAAGGTGGCCATTGTGTTATTATTAACAACTAACTTTTTCGATTAACCGCGATAGCTTATTTCTTTTCACTTGTTTATCCGATGATGATTCATTTGTATTAGTTCCATTACATATAACAATAACAAAATATGAAAAAAATCCGTAAAACAATGTTAGTTACTTGAAACCTATTTATTTATTTATAGTGAGTTAAAAAAAATGCTAAAAATCTCTCGTTATGTTTAAAGCCTGTCTTCCATAACTGCACGTGAAGAACTTTCGTAGGGAACAGAAAAATAAGGTATCCAAAGAAGCATGATATTGATATTGGGTGTTCAAAAAAAATCAAGGTACAGATGAATCTGTACCTTGAGCAGAGTTCCTACGGAAATGTATTCAACGACGATTTGAGTAGTTGTTATACAGCGGTTCTGGCCCACTTTTCCCATGTATTCTCTTTTGGGACTACGACATAAATTGAGGATATGACAAACAAAATACATGGGTTCTTATGGGACTACATCGAAAAGAAAAATCGTTACATCGATTTCGATTTAGTCCTAGACACGGAGAGGAGGGGTAGGTGCTGGAGAGGGTTAGCTAGGGGGCCATCGTTGAACCTGTGACGTTAGTATCGGGGGGAGGGGGGCCTCAAAGGCCAATAGCATAGGACTTATATTTTTTAATATCGGGAGAGGGGTAGATTTTAACTAATACTATAAACATATCTTAAGATGCTAGCTAAGAGGGAGGAGATAAGAGGCTTTGACTATACCAAGGGGGCATATATTATAATTTATAACAAAGACATCCGTTCCAACAGCTAGAAACTCATTTTTGTAATTTTAAAATAATAATTATGGTGCATCTTGTACATTTATACGCTAGAAATATAAGTATAATGTATAATTAATGTGATTTTTGATGACGTTTGTGTAAAATTATTGGAATTATTAACGGTGGTTTAATGGTGTGTTTAGCGTATCTAACTTGTTACCGGAAATAGCTTAGGGATGCGCGTTCGATTCCCGCCTGTTGAACAATTTTTAATTATAGAAATTGTTCCCGAGAAATGGTTTGGACTTCACTGTAAACTGTGGGACACCGTCTACTTTACGCAAACAAATTTAGGTCTAAGAGTTACTTAAATGTGACTTAGAAGGCGGTTGAAACACATTTTAAACAAATTTCTGGCATAACAGTATTTGCAAAATAGATAACATTGCACACATAAGTTGAGCAGTGAAAACTACAGTCCAAATTCACAAACTATTTTCACGGTACAAACTGAACAATTGATAAATGACAAATAATAATGGGATACACCCTGTCTCTAACTTGCATTTGACACATTCTTTTATTAGTTATAGGCTAATTTGTGACATCCTGCATGACTAGATTTTTATCAAAAAGTGTTAATTTCTATAGTCACCTTATTATATGAACTTTCATTACAATTCAATTTTAAAAATAAAAAGAGTTATAAGCCTACTTCGATTTTGAGACACTAACAAATAATCTAATTTATGTAATAAAAAAATCGACATGAAAATATTTAAATTAAAAGTTTGCCAAACATTTTCTAAACGTAGTAAAAGACGTGCTATAGAACCTAAAAACTCAAAAATTTACGTAATTTAACAAGCAGAAACAAGTCTTGTGCTTCAAGATTATAATTTATAAATACGAAATTTATATTTATTAGAATAAAGTACTGGATAAAAGTAGGATATTGTACATTTATAATGGCCAAGTGGACATTTTTTAATTATTTTAATAATGTCTACACATAAAAATAGTAAACCTGTATTTTTTATTAATAGAATAAAGTTGATTTCAGAACTTAGCTTGGTTGGCATTGGCTGTAATTGTACAGGTGATATTTACTGATATAAAGGTACAGATACACCAAAAGAGCAAACGAGAGCGAATATGAGCGAGCGAGAATTACTTATATTTAATCGTTTGCTGTGTACAACTTTTCGTGCGAGCGATCGTTGTTTGCGAGGTTGTTTGCATACATTCAGGGAAAATCGAAACTAGAAGGGGACATTATAGAGAAATCGTGTTCTTGCTTATTTGGTAGTTACAGATACTTTTATCTTTTAGTTTTCTCCGAACATTTGTGGTGATAGTTCGAAATGGAGTGAAATCATTTAAATTTGATTGAGGTCTATAAGACAAAAAAATGTTATGGAATACGAAAAACGTATTTTTTTTAAATCAAAAGAAAAAAGAAGACGCTTGGAAAGAAATAGACAATTACTCAACTTTCTTGCAATTGTACATATCAGCGAACGCGGGGAAATTCGCTTCAGCGAACGCGAGAAAATTCGCTTCAGTAAATGACACACATTGAGCCTATACTTGAGCACGATTAAACATTAACGAACACGAGGAAATGTTTGCTCTTGCTCGCCCTTTTAGTGTATCCGCACCTCAAGTATATTTTCCGAATATATTTCTATACGTAATTCACTTATTTAAAATACCATGTTTTTTATCAATATTTGTTATTATCACTGTTTTTGTATATCAAAACACTATTAGATTTTATAATTTTTAAATTTTTAGTGGTATTCGTTTAAAAATTTTTTTATAAACAAATGGATTAGTTGCATATTTTATAAAAAAAAAATTTTGCCAAATTATTAGTGGAATATGATTTTTTAAAAAACATTTATTCTTAAAAAAAATTTTTATTGTTAATAATCATTTTTTAGCTTTTTCCATTATTTAAATAACAGATTAACAAAAGATTTTTTTTTTCTAAATTTATCATTTGCAATTTTCTACAAAGTAAAAAAAAAATTTTTTTCGCTTTAAATTTATTTAATTTATTTGTTAAAATTCTATAAAAAATCGAAAAATATTTTTTTGTATTGGTTAAATATATGGTTGTTTTTAGTTTTTTTTTTATATATATATAAAAAATAATACATTCGACCATTGTTTATACAAATTTTTATTAAATAAACAAATTTTAAGCGAAAAAAAAAATTATTTTTACTTTGTAGAAAATTGCAAATGATAAATTTAAAAAAAAATCTTTTGTTAATCTATTATTTAAATAATGAAAAAAGTTAAAAAATGATTATTAACAAAAAAAAATTTTTTAGAAACAATTTTTTTTAAAAAAAATTATCCACTAATAATTTGGCAAAAAAATTTTTCTAAAATATGCAACTAATCCATTTGTTTATAACATTTTTTTTAAACAAATACCATTAAAATTTTAAAAATTATAAAATCTAATAGGGTTTTGATATACAAAAACATTGATAATAACAAATAGTGATAAAAAAAATTTTTTCACCTTTTTTATCGTTTATTAGTTTTTTGTTAACATAAAAGATTAATAACTAATGAACTATAACAATTGAAAATATCTTGATGTGATTATTTCATAACGTATACTTGTCACAATGTATCCAGCATCGGTTATAATTTTCACGTCTTTAGTTTAACAATTATCTGATTAAAAACATAAACGTGAACTCCAAAAAAATTTGTTAATTAACAATAAGCGCATTTTATGAAAAATGGATGAAAATTTTTTTTTTAAGTGGATATTGTTCCTTGGGATGTCTAAATGGTCCGATAATTTTTTGAAATTTTTTTATTTAATCATTAGCTATGAAATATAGCTAAAATAATTTTTTTTGTTGCTACGATCGGATTCTGAGGTCTGTGGCAACGTCGCGCGGAGCACTATTTTCACCATTAAATTAAAATCATTAATAACGGAGGTACAGTTCCGGAAGGTTAGGACATTTTTATCGGAAATTTCGTCCTCTTTAAGAATCTTTTTTAACACGCTTTTATTAGCTTCACCTGTATGTTTGTTTGTAACCGACTCTTTGGACTCGATTTTGACCCACTTTAAACGGACAGATTTAATTGAAACTTTGTACACTTACGAAGAACCGGTAACAATACAATAATTTGGTAAGTTTATATCATTATCCTGATCAGGATCGCCAGTCCTTTCCTCACGTATCCTCTGCGTGAGAGCAAGAGGCTTAATATTGTAAGTATATTCCGTGATTCTCAGTTCGGTCGTTGGCCGAGCGGGCAAGTCTTAGTCGACGCGAAACGACAGACTCCTCGGGCGTGAGTTCAAATCCCATGGCTGAAATAAAAAAATATATTTTTTTTCAGAAATATCTGTTGGATCGTAATATGTTATAATATCAGCATCAATAAGCAATATAAATATAGTTTAAAAAAACTACAAAACACGCTTTCATAGCACATCAAACTAAAAAGTGAAAAATAATTATTAATATAAACTGAAAACAATAATGAACGAAAAATACTAGTATTATTGTGAAAAAAGCGTGGGGCGCTTTGTGCCATATTTTTCGTATATCGAGCAACCCATGCTTTTTTCACAATAATACTAGTATTTTTCGTTCATTATTGTTTTCAGTTTATATTTATAATTATTTTTCACTTTTTAGTTTGATGTGCTTTAAAAACGTGGTTTTTAGTTTTTTTAAACTATATTTTTTTAATTTCTTAATTATTAATAGTTGAATTATTTGCGAAAAACTAAATGCCTTTTTTATCTTAATTTGTTAATAATTTTTGCAATTTTTTATGTGCTGGTAAACAATTTTTATTCATTTTTTTAGACGTCATTCCGTATCCAATGAGCATATCCGTCCATATTTTTACGACGTTTATCACTAATTAACACCGTTTTTAATTTGTGAACTAGACTGACTACTCGCTTTAACAGTGATTCAAAGTCTGTGTTGTTGTTTTTATGTATTTCTCTGGGTGTTTCTATAATATTTCTTGGTATTACCAAAGTATTCTCTATATTAATAGATATTTCTGCATATTACTAAATATTACTATGTATTACATATATTTTTCTTTTCTTGACCGTTAATATCATGTATTACTAAGTAGGACCACCTGGTAATTGTTGGTTTTCTTGTATTGCTGGTAATAATTTGAGAAAAATGTACACCGATTTCATCAATGGTTGGACCCCTCGGATATTTCTGATTTCAGAGCACTCTTAACTTGTAAAAATGATTTTTAAAAATTCAAAATAAACCGGTGAAATAACCCAAAGCTCGTTTAGACTAGAATGTTGGCTTTTAGTAATTAAAGCTGGGGAATCGAAAAAGCATTACTTTTATTAGCCTTAATTATAGATCGATATATCGGCATGGCACACGGAAAACAATCATAAAAGCAAATCCTGACATCCGCGTACGTATAAAATACGAATCTTGCCAAGGATAAGAACCTGCGAAGGTCCGAAATTGCGATTGCAATTACCGTTTACGTATTGTTTCTCAATATGTAAGAGAATTATTCACACAGTGCAGCGCGTAATCGCGAACCTTGAGCGATGACAATGACCTGACAAAATGATTTAGAAGAAAACATCATTGACTAAGCGTGGAAAAAATGGGGAACGTTCTGTTTTTACAATGGTGATTTATGACAAGAGCCTATAAAAAATCGTTTCCTGGCTGTAAATGGTGCGATCACCTTATAAGTTTGAAAAAATGTATCAATGGATTGTGTATGTATCAAATTAAATGTTCATGGGATTATATCAGTTTTTTTAAAAAGAATTTTATATAATGGATGGATACATAGATGTTTTTAATGTTGGGGTTGGAATAAAAAGTTCTCGTGGAAATGAGTGTGGAAGAACTTCGGGCGTCAGAAAGGAACCAAAAAACTGGTTTTTGTAGAATATTATAATAATATTAATTTGGTACAGTGTGTCTCACTTAAGACTGTAACACCCCTATAACTTTTTAGTTTTTATCGAGGTTTTTATCCAATTTAAACCAAATTGCTCGCAAAAAGTAGAGGTCTGTTATAGAACCGCATAATATCTTACCGAAGAATACAATATTCAACACAAATAAATAAAAAATATTCAAAAACGCGCCAAACGTCCAGTACAGAAACATGACAGGTAGGACAGTCTACTGAAATCTCCATTATATCGTAAACCATCTGGCAATCTTAAAGAAAGCTTCTAGAACATTCGACCGAAAACAGA